TTGGAGGGTCAAGGGCAGCCTTCCACTCAACTCCCAGGGATGTTTCCCGGAATAGAAGTCTGTCATCCCCACAGCTGTGACTACTGAACATGGGGATTGTAACATACCACTTGCCCTTGCTCCCCCACAACCTCTTAGACCTCATGCCACAAATTCCTTTACTGTCTCTGCTCCCTGTGTTACCTAAATAAAAATACATGATTTTTAAACAGCAGTATCTTTATTGCTTGTGTTACGGGAGTGGGGGAAGGGTTATAGGTCAGCACACTTAATGCAAGGGGCAGGGGCAAATTACCATTTTGCGGGGCTTAGGGCAGCACAATTTCGCGGTGCCCCCCTTTGCCATGGTGCATGCACGGTGGCACCACGGCGCATACGCGGGGCTTCTTGAAGCGCGGGCCCGGGGCGGCTGCCCCGCTCGTCCTGCCCTGTATCCGCCCCTGGCACAGAGGACCTTGTTAAGATCAAAATACACTGTCATATCACTGTCTGGTCATTCACAAAACTGGTTTTCAAAGCCTCTCTGATTTGCAGTACCTCTTGATGTGCCCCCTTTTTGCCCTGCTGTCTTACTGCTCATAATCAGTGGCAAGGCACTCCCCATCTCAGCATAAAATTTCCCCCCTTACTTTTACAGATATTATGGCGCACAGAGCAGGCCGCCACAACAAGGGGAATGTTGCTTTTGCTGAGGTCTAACATAGTTAGTGAACTATTAACCTTCCCTTTAAATGCCTGAAAGCACATTCTACCACCATTCTACCCTAGTTCAGCCTGTAGTTGAACTGCTCCTTATTGCCGTCCAAGCTGCCCGTGTACAGCTTCATGAGCCACGGGAGCAAGGGAAAAGCTGGGTCACCAAGGATCACTATTGGCATTTCAACACTTCCAATTTTCTGGTCTGAGAAGAAAGTTCCAACATGCAGCTTTCTGAAGAGACCAGAGTACCTAAAGATGCGTGTGTCATGCGCCTTTCCTGACCATTCCACATTGATGTTGGTGAAACGGCCCTTGTGATCCATCAGTGCCTGCAGCACCATCAAGAAGTACCCCTTTGTGGTTTATGTACTCTTTGGCAAGGTGGTCAGGTGCAAGATAGGGATGTGCATTCCATCTAGTGCCCCAACACAGTTAGGGAACCCCATTGCAGTAAAGTCATCCACTATGGCCTGCACGTTTCCCAGCATCACTCTTCTTCATAGCAGAAGGGTATTGATTGCCTTGGCTATTTGAATCACAGCAGCCCCCCACTATACATTTACCCACTTCAAATTGATTGCCATCTAATTGATAGCTGTCTGGTGTTGCAAGCATCCACAGGGCTATTGCCACTTGCTTCTCAACTGTCAGAGTGGATCTCGTTCTGGTATTACTGCGCTGCAGGATGGGAGAAAGCAATTCACAAAGTTCCATGAAAGCGGCCTTACGCATGCAAAAGATTTGCAGCCCCTGCTCCATGTCCTGTAGCTACATAACTATGTGGTCCCTCCAATCTGTGCTTGTCTCATGGCATCAGAAATGGCATTCCACCATATCAACAGAACTGCCACCAGCATCTGCCAGTTACTCCACTCAAGTATTTCATATGTGCCCTCCTCACATTCTTGCTCCTGCAACTCCTGGCCAGACTTTGGATATACCACAGCATAATGCTCAAAGTGTTTGCAATGCTTTCCACAGCACTTTGCAGCTGAGTGAAGTCCATGCTTGTCCTACTATAGTGTCTGCATGGATAATCAGGGAAAAAAGGATGCAAAAATATTTTTTTATGTTGCTTTCAAGTGGGGGGAGGGAGTAGGTAAATGCACCATGGGAGGCTGACTAACATGTACTCAGAACCATCTGCTGCACTTGTTTTTGTCTCATCAGGCACTGGGAGCCTAACCCAGAATGGAAGGGGTAGCAGGAACGGTGGGTTAGCTATGCACAATGCATTGGTGTCAAAGTCTATGGTAGCCATCCAACTGGAGATGCACTATGTCAGTGGTTCCCAACCTTTTCAAGTATATGGATCCTTTTTCAATCTATTAAAATTTCATGGAGCCCCCTCCCAAGAAAAGAAAAGAAAAGAAAAGAAAAGAAAAGAAAAGAAAAGAAAGTGGGCCCAATTCTTACTTTTCAACTTTCCACAGACCCACTGCAGTACTGTCACAGACCACCAGGGGCCCGCAGCACACAAGCTGGGAACTACTGCACTAAGGCAAACTCTTGCACACAGTGGAACATGCACCTTTGACTTTAAAGAGTTGGGTGCTAAAAAATCAACCCTAATAAATTCGACCTAATCAAGTAGTGTGGACATGGCCTCTGTCTCAAGTCCCCAGTCTTTACTGTTTTTAAGCACATGGATGGGGCTATAGATATAATTTCTTAGTCATTTTAGTCACTACGTTGATTCTTTATTTTGATGTCCTGACATGTCTGGTGCTGTCTGCTCTATAACCTGGTGTGGCATGGTGGTGCCTTGCTGGTAGCTGGGCTTGGGCAGTGAGTGACCTCCATTGGTGGCTATTTGTAGCACGGCCCAACAGGACAGCGGATGAGTCACTAGGCAAAGGTCTCACAACCTGTCCGACAGGTCGCCTCCCAGAGAGAGAGACAAAGGGAGGAAGGCGGAGACCAACCCCTGTCTGGGGGGCAGGGCTGGAAGAGAGTCAGTTTCTGTCTGGTATCATGGAGGAAGCAGCCTAAGCAAGGGGCTGGGATTTAGGGGCCCAGTCTCCCCCATCTCAAGCGGGGCTGAGGCATCCTAGGCCTGCCCTGTAACCAGATTACATCTGTGCTGTGCTGTATCCTGGAGAAGCAATAAACTCCCTCTATTCTACTGGCTGGTGGAGTATGTCCGTGCCATTACGGGGTGCAGGAGTCGGGGGAACCCCGATGCGCTGTCACATCAGAGAAGAGCAACAAGAATGATGAAAGGTCTAGAGAACATGAGCTATGAGGGAAGACTGAAAGAATTAGGCTTGTTTGGAATGGAGAAGACTGAGAGGGGACATGATAGCGGTTTTCAAGTATCTAAAAAGGTGTGACAAGAAGGAGGGAGAAAAACTGTTCTCCTTGGCCTCTGAGGATAGGAGAAGAAGCAATGGGCTTAAACTGCAGCAAGGGAGGTTTAGGTTGGACATTAGGGGGAAAATCCTAATGTTTAGGGAGGTTAAACACTGGAATAAATTGCCTAGGGAGGTTATGGAATGTCCATCTCTGGAGATATTTAAGAGCAGGTTAGATACACATCTATCAGGAATGGTCCGAGTTTCCTGGGTTGTTCTTGTTTCCCTTTTTTATAGATGGGCACTATATTTGCCCTTTTCCAGTCTTTTGGAATCTCTGCCAACTTCCATGATTTTGCAAAGATGATAGCTAAAGTCTCAGATATCTCCTTTATCAGCTCCTCGAGTATTCTAGGAAGCATTTCATCTGGCCTTGGTGACTTGCAGATATCTAACTTTTCTATTTCTAACTTGTTCTTTTTTTTTATTTTAACTTTTAAACCTACCCCATTTCCACTAGCATTCACTATGTTAGACACCCTGTCACCATCCATCTTCTCGACAAAAAGCAAAACAAAGAAGTCATAGACACTTCCTACTGTCTCTGGAGGAGGGAACCACTTCAGATGATTACCTCACATTATACTCATGCAATGACCACATCAACTGCTTTCCTGCACAATGTACCCCTTACTGATATCTGTAGAGCAGCAATGTGGTATTCATATCATTCCTTCACATAACACTATGCTCTGCAGCAAGGACCCATACCTACCACCCCCTTAGCCAATGTGGTCCTTGCCTCTTCTCAAAACTGACTCCAAAAGCAGCAGATACTGATACTTAATCACCTGAGTGGAGCATCCACATGGATACCACTCGAAGGAGAAGGAGAAGTTGCTCACCTTGTGCAGTAACAACAGTTCTTCAAGATATGTGTCCCCATGGGTGCTCCACTATCTTCCCTTCCTCCCTGCTACTTGACTGCGCATGTGCAACATGGGAAGGCACCACTAGGCAAAAATCTCTGCTTGCCAGCATGAGGACTCACTGAGACCTGAGTGGAACACCCACAGGGACACACATCTTGAAGAACCATCGTTACTGCACAAGGTGAGTAACTTCTTCTTTTGCTTCCATATCATATTATAAATTCATATCTAGTTTGCTCTCCTCTGTCACTCATCTCTTTCAGCATTACTGCTTTCTGGGTTTCTCCCTCATCTTCATTATCTATATGTTAGATTACTTTCCCCAGATGTAGCCTAATTTTTTTTATTTCAGCCAGGCTGTGTCTAGACTGCATCCCTTTTCCGAAAAAGGGAAGCAAATTAGACACATCGCAATTGCAAATAAAGTGGGGATTTAAATCCCACCCGCTTCATTTGCATAAACATGACTTCTGCTTTTTTACGGCTCGGAGCTTTGCCGGAAAAAAGCGCCAGTCTAGACGGAGATCTTTCAGAAAATAAAGCCTTTTCCGAGAGATCCCTTATTTCTTTTTTTAAGAGGAATAAGGGGTCTTTTGGAAAAGGCTTTATTTTCCAAAAGATCCCCGTCTAGACTGGCGCTTTTTTCCGGCAAAGCTCCGAGCTGGAAAAAAGCAGCAGCCATGTTTATGCAAATGAGCGGGGGGGGATATAAATCCCCTCTTCATTTGCAATAGCGATGTGTCTAATTTGCATCCCTTTTACGGAAAAGGGATGCAGTCTAGACACAACCCCAATGTATTAGTAGGAATAGTGTTGGGAATTTAATAGTGCATAAAGTTATTCATATCCCAGGGTATGTCTAAACTACATCCCTTTTTCGATAAAGGGATGTAAATTAGACATACCCCCAGTTACTCCAAAAGCTGTTTAGAATGAGAGACAATTGCAGGAAGATGTATGATGATGATAATAATTTGATTTGAGTTGTATTGGACACATGACATGTCTGTCACATCTAACACATAAAACCATGTTGCTGATTATGAAAAAATGTTAAACAAAAACTCGACCTGTATTTATTTCAAGCCAGAAGAAAAATTTATTATCCAGACTGATACAATATACTAGAGCTGCTGGTATGCAGTAAAAGAAGCCCTTCACCCTAGACTTTAAGAATACACAGTGTAAAAGACAGAGGAAATTGTCAGAAAGACACCAAGCTGTTGTGTTCTATTGGATTACACTGCTGTGACTACATAATTAACATTTCCATTAGCATTTTCTACTATGCATACTGAGTAGATTCATCGATACTATGTTGGCTGGTGTTTCATGATTCTCCTCTCAGATGCGTGCTGTCTTCAGAACTGGTACAATACAGGTGGTCTCAGGTGGGTGAGGGGATTCAGTATTTTCTTTCCTGGGTAGAAACTACTTTTCCATCTACTGAATCTTCCACACTGATGCGAACTCTACTGGAGCTGCTGCTGCTGCTGGTGGTAAGGGATGCTGTGATGGAGAAAGAGGGAGACAGTAATTACAACTGGGAAGATAAATATCCATTGATAGAAGACTGAAGAATCCGGGTTTTCTCTGGCTGGAAGCTTCCTTCAGTTATCATACACATAGCCCTGCATCTTCTCGCTACATTGTAGTGACACAGTAAAACTTATGTAATTTACATATGAAAATTACATATAAAAACTTGCTTTTGGTTAAAGTTGCCAGATGGTTTAACCAAAAATACTGAACACTCCCCCTCCCTCCCCCGTCAGAAAAAAAACATAGGGAAAAAATTCTGTTGAGAAAAAGAAAAGGGGGAGACCAAAGTTGTTGAGGGAAAAAAAAAAGCACTGCAGCTTTAAATGACCCCGCACTCCTCTCCCTGCTTCGGACAGCTCCCCCATGGAACCAGGTAAGCACCTGGTATTTTCGCCTCCTGGCTGGGAAAAAATCAGAAAATACCAGACATTTTAGGTGTCTGGTATTTTCTGAGTTTTTTACTGGACAGGAGGCAAAACTACCAGACTGTCCAGGTCAATACCAGACACCTGGCAACCCTACTGTTGGTATGACTCAGCAGAAGCTGATCAAGGGATCCCCAGGTCTCCATAATTATTTAGATTTGAGAGCTATATGTACCAGTGATCAAGTGCCTACCAGCTTGCTAGACCAGGCATAAAATAAGATTGTGCCTGAAAAGGTTGTGGGGGCTATGGAGAACAAAAATGGAGATACTGTCTGTAATCTCTGTAGTTAATAGGGACGGGCTTATTCAATTCTATTTCACCATACTAAATGTACTATGGTTCTATTTTTCATTTCAAAATCCTCCTTACCATCCTTGCTGCTCCATCCCGACATCCTGGGGAAGAGAAGAGATAAGAAATTAAACTAATGTGCTCCAGTACAATTGTGGACTGTACAGCAGATTCAGCAATTCTACTGATGTACTCTGACCACCAAATAACTACTTAATTGGACCATGCAAATATTGTGTGCAAAAGATCAACCAATGGCAAACTGCAGATGCAAAATAGAGGCCCTTTTGCAAATGTGGTCCTTGTATGACTATTCAGTTGTTACAGTGTCAGAATTCAAGTTTTCATTATCCACTCATTTGCCTTTGAAGATGGACTTGCATTCTGGTAGCCTTTGGGTTTTTCTGGACCCTTGCAGCCCACAATTGGCCTAGTATCCAGGCAATATACTTTAGAAAACTGCAGTAATTCTGGTTGTAATGAGGCTCAAATTCACCTACTTTCAGGGGAGGTTCTTTACTTTACTGTTATAACGTATGCCATGTTAATAAGATTATGTAACAGCTTTAGGGGTGTTATTTTGAACATGGTTACATACTGGGAATCTTGGCCTTCCAACAGCCTGCGGTAAGTGGCAATCTCCTGTTCTAATCTGGTTTTGATGTCCAGGAGCATCCTGTATTCTTGGTTCTGCCGCTCCATGTCGCATCTAAGCTCAGCCAATTGCTCCTCAATGCTGGTAATCATGCCCTGGAGTTGTGCTAGCTGTGCGCAGTATCTTCCTTCTGTTTCTGCCAAGTTGGCTTCCAACCCAGCTTTCTAATATGAAGCAAAATTAAAGTTGATTATTACACAGATTCTTCCCATAGTAGAATGAAGGGGGAGTGTGATTTATAGTATGCATGGAACAGCCACATACCATGCTGAGCTGGGATTGGAGCTCTATCTCTAGGCCTTGCAAGGTGCGTCTCAGTTCTGTGATCTCGCTCTTGCCGGTCTGTAGCTGTTCAGTATTGGTAGCTACTTCACGGTTCAGCTCTTCAGTCTGGAAGAAAAACAAACAAAAAATCATGCACATTGGCTTACCAGTGTTTTACGTCCAAAAAGAAAGGACCATCCTCATTGCTGTCGTGGTGCTGCTTGCTTTGGAGTGTTTCTCAAATGTAGCCACCAGTGGCTTTTCTTGCAGCCATAGGCTCCTGGAAAGTGATGGAGGTGGGGAGGAGAAAAGCATCCTCTCCTCTCCCTTCCTGTTGCTCTTGGATACGCTGCCTTGCTGTTATCTATTGGGGCTCTAAGCAGGGTTTGGCTGCTGCCCCCCTCATCCTCTGGAGACAGCTGGGGCAGTGAGCAGGGGTTGAGCCCTGACTCCTTCCTCCAGAGACAGCAAGGGCACAACACTGGAGGAACAGACTGCAGCTTGAATTCCCCACCTTCCCTGAGTTGGTGGGGTGGCAGGCTTTGGCTGCAGGGCTTTTAGCTCCCGCCTGAGGCTCCTATCACACGACTTCAGGCTTCTTCCCTGTCCCCTAACCCAGGGGATTTTGATTCTGGCTGCAGGGCTTCAGGATCTGGCTGTCTTCCCTGGTTCCTTCAACTTCATTCCCCTCTGGCTACCCTAACCCCCTATCCAGGGCTTAATTAGTCTCCGGGCTAGCCAGAGCTGAGTAAGTCTTCTGTGACAAGTGATACTTTTATGTTTGTTAATCCCAGTTTTTACAACAGACTTACTAGCTGGCAATAAATACATTGCAATGATTCAGACACATATATGAGCATATTTATTTGTTTTTCCTAAAGCTAATTGAGTATTTTAGGAAAAAGTGTGAGTGGCCAACAGCAAGATTTGGTGGCCACACTCTGAGGCTGCCCAAATATTTGTCCTGAGAACCCTCACTGGTCCAATGGTGAAAAGAGGATAAATATTTAAAATCTTGGTAGGTGTCTTAGGATACTTAGCTTCTTACCAAATGTAGAAACTGATTGGCAAAAGCAGGAGTGTTGTGCAGAAATTGGCATGGTGAGCTCATAGTGCACCAGTTTATTTGTTCATTGGAGTAGCCATACCTGTTTATAGAACCAGGCCTCAGCATCTCGACGGTTCTTGTCAGCCAGTGTTTCATATTGCTCTCTCATCTCAGCCAGGATACTGGAGAGATCGACGCCAGGAGCAGCATCCATCTCTACGCTGACTTTTCCACCCACTTGATTGCTGTATTCTTTCATTTCCTGTAGAGAAAGAAGGATGCAAAAGAGGTTAAGCTTTTTGCCCTTGTACACTTTCTGCATTCAGCAATCCATGTAGCTTAATTGGGAAATGTGTGTTTTGAGTTATGGTTATTATATACCACAGTGCCTGTTGCCCCTTAATTCCCTACTTCATTTTAAGTGGGATCCTACAGCATGTCTAAATCCTTTACACTTAACAATCCCCAGACCTGAAGATAAGCACTGAGAGGCTCGAAAACGTGTGCTTTTCTCCAAAAGAATTCGGTCCAATAAATGAAAGTACCTGCTACGGTGATACAATTTGCAAAATCCTCTGTTATATTAGATTTTCTTTTCTTTCCTTAAATATATTTTTACTTTATTATGTATAATTTGTTGCATGTATTATAACTTTAATATCTTAACACATGAGAGATTTATCAGTTACTTTTCATAAAGAAGTTTATTCACACACTGAATTTGTATCCGCATATGTGGTTGGAGTTGAAATTTTTAAATGAAATATCTTGATTACTTTGGATTGATGTTTATTCTGTGTGGGTACGTCTACACTACAGCGCTAATTCGAACTAACTTAGTTCGAATTAGTTAATTCGAACTAAGCTAATTCGAACTAACGTGTCTAGAACTAAAAACTAGTTCGAATTAGCGTTTTGCTAATTCGAACTAGCAAGTCCACATTGAGTGGACTCTGAACAGGGCTTAAGGATGGCCGGAAGCAGTGCCGGCAGGGCATCAGAGGAGGACTTAGAGCGTGGAGATGCTGTCTCAGGCTAGCCGAGGGCTGCGCTTAAAGGGTCCCGGCCCCCTCCCTGGACAGACAGTTCTAAGGGGTGCCCCGCTTGCAAAGCAGTCCTGGCTTGGAGTGTCCGGAGTACCCACACTGGGCACATCACACCACTCGGCCATCAGCCCGGCTGCACTTGCCGCAGGCTGCCATCTGAGGAGAGGGGGCAATTGGGGGGCTGCAGGAGAGCTTCCCCCCCCAGAAGCCCGCAAAGCCAGCCCAGTCCTCCCCATCGGGGGCTCGTACCCCATTCCTCCCTCACCTCCTTCCACGTACCCTTCCCTAGCCCCCCTTCTTATTGATGTACAAAATAAAGATAACGTTTCTTCCAACATTGACTCTGTCTTTATTGAACAAAACTGGGGGAGACTGGGAAAAGGAGGTGGGAGAGGGGAAGAGAAAGGCTGGGAGAGGGGAGGGCAACTAACATGATCAGGGGTTGGGAACAGGTCCCAGATGAAGAGAGGCTACAGAGACTGGGACTGTTCAGCTTAGAAAAGAGGAGACGGAGGGGGGACAGGATAGAGGTCTCTAAAAGCAGGGGTTGGGTGGAGAGGGTGCATTCAGAAAAGTTCTTCATGAGTTCCCATAAAGAAGGACTAGAGGACACCAAAGGAAAGGAATGGGTAGCAGGCTTCAAACTAGTAAGAGAAAGTTGTTCTTCTTCCCAAAGCAAAGAGTTAACCTGTGGAACTCCTTGCTGCAGGAGGCTGTGAAGGCTACAACTAAAACAGAGTTTAAAGGGAAGTGAGATCAAGTCATGGAGGTTGGGTCCATGGAGTAGTCTTAGCCAGGGGGTAGGAGTGGTGTCCCTGCCCAAAGTTTGTGGAAGGCTGGAGAGGGATGGCACGAGACAAATGGCTTGGTCACTGTCTTCGGTCCATCCCCTCCAGGGTCCCTAGGGTTGGCCGATGTCGGCAGACAGGCTACTGGGCTAGATGGACCTTTGGTCTGACCCAGGACGGCCATTGTAAGCTCAGGGCTCATGGTCGGTGGTCTCAGTGGACCCCCTTGATTTTCATGCACACCTGCTCCTCGGTGGCCAGGCTGGCAGCTCTCCTGCCCTAGACAGCCACTTTCCTGTGCCTAGTGCGGAGATCGTGGACGAGGTCCACAATGTCCGCACTAGTCCAGGAAGGTGCCCGCCTCTTGCGGTCCAGGGCAAGCTCCCGGAAGCCGCCAGCCTGGTCCCAGGAAGAGGGGGTGGGCTGGGGGACATCGGGTGGGTGGCTCTGTGCCGTGCCAGGTGCAGGGTCTGCTGGCTGGGTGCTGGCAGGCTTGCACCTGGCACGGGCACCGTAGCCAGCCTGTGCCCCTTTAAGGGATCCGGGGCCGGGAGAGGGGCATAGAGTTTCCCTGGTGTTGGCCAGAGTGGCCACCAGGGAAACCTGAGGAGGGCTAGCCTCCCACTAGTTCGAATTAAGGGGCTACATACCCCTTAATTCGAACTAGTAAGTTCGAACTAGGCTTAATCCTCGTAAAATGAGGTTTTCCTAGTTCGAACTAAGCGCTCCGCTAGTTCGATTCAAATTCGAACTAGCGGAGCGCTAGTGTAGCGGCTATGAATGTTAGTTCGAACTAACGTCCGTTAGTTCGAACTAACATTGTAGTGTAGACATACCCTGTACTTGATCTTTTTAAATAAAATGTCTTGAAAAATCATATTTTTGTTCTAAATGAATGAGAACCTCTCCATGTAACAAATGTTATTGACTTTGGAATAATTTAAAAATTTCTGATCTCATGCTGATGCTTTTCAAAGCAGATACACAACTCACATCTTTAACAGAGTTTGGAATTGGAAGGATGTTAGCCTGAGGAACCTTTTTTTTTTAATTTTTAAATAAATCATCTGGTTGTGAAGCTCTCGTTCTTTGGGGTATTTTTTAATCCAAAACTTAAATTCTAAATGTGATGGCTGTCCTCATTCTCTGTCTAGAGCACTCACCTCCTCGTGGTTCTTCTTGAGGTAAGCCAGCTCTTCTTTCAGGCTTTCAATCTGCATCTCCAGGTCGGCTCTGGCCAGGGTCAGCTCGTCCAGGACCCTACGCAGGCCATTGATGTCAGCCTCCACACTCTGGCGAAGGAACAACTCGTTCTCATATCTGTAGTGTTAAAAAAAAGAAACAGATATTTGAAAATGCATGACTTTGAATCCCATCTCATTATAACAACAAGGAATCTTGGGTGTATTGTGTCAGAGGAATAGGACAACAGAACTGAAAAGTCAGAAAAGGGACCCAAAAATAGAAGCTAGAATGTTTGTTCCAGTTTTAAAATATGATATTTGAAAATGTGTGTTAGTTGTCTGGGTCCTTTGTGGACATTTGATCACATTGTGTCATCAAATAAGTTGGTATTTTTGGCAGTCCCAAGATACTAGCACTTAGTTGCAATCAGTGCTTTTTTTGTTTAAAAAAAAAAGTGCTGGTACTCCAGGGGAAAAGTTGTTGAGCTCTGACTGGAAGTGCCAGTACTGCATCTAGAAGTGCCAGTACTGCGTACCAGGCAGTACCATCACAAAAAAACCACTGGTTGCAACAGTGATTAATACTATAAAACAGAGTGACAGACAAATCAGGATTGACATGCAATGCCAAAACTGAATGTGGGAACTAACAAAATTACCGACTACTGGGTGTTATCAGCCTGGTGTTCATAAACAGCAAGAAAATCACTACATTTAAAAAGGTTAACTTGAAATTAACAAATGTATTTGGACTTGAACTAGATTTCTGAAGCATAGATATGACTTTTATGGGTTTATCGAGAATGGATTATTAACATCTATGAAAAAAAGGTAACAGACAATCCATATTTAGAGATCTCTCAGTTATGAAGAATGGCATATGTTGTTATCTTTGCTCAGTGCACCAGAGGAGAAAATATCATTCTGGAGCTACTTTGTTGTAAGAGAAAGTAGCTGCACCAATGTTCTTAGCATCTTGACAGCAATACCCTGGAAACAAGCTGATTTCAACAGTGTCCTTGAATTTCAGTAGAACAATCACTCTTTGGCTTTCCTATATAGCTTTCCTGTTCCAATGTCTACATCCTACGAGAAAGACTGAGTACTGGAAAAAGATTATCCCTCCATTTCATCATGCCACTTCTAAGGGTACATCTACACTTCAAGGCTATTTTAGGATACCTGAGGCATCCCAAAATAGCTACTCCTCATCCAAGGAACCACCCGTTATTTCAAAATATGTTTCGAAATAACGGACACGCTATTTCGCCATTCTTGTAAACCTCTTTGTACGAGGATTAAGAGATGACTTGAAATAGGGCTTCATTTCAAAATTTGGCGCTGTGTAGACATGCCAAATTTCAAATTAGCCTATTTGGAAAGAAAATCAAAATAAGATACGCAATTTGCATAGCGCAAATTGCATACCTTATTTCAAGTTTGGGGTGCAGTGCAGATGCACCCTAAGTGAAAGCTGTTTCATACCTTTTCTCATTTTAAAATCTTGAGTGGTATTTTTTCAATGAGAATGAACTCTTCAAAATGTTAATAACAATATAGAAAGTAAAGGCATGAGGTATAAAAAAACAGAAAAACATCTAGATTAGCTTGGTGGCATTGCTGATAAAGTTTCTTCTCCCATTTCTTCCTTTATCACATCAATTAATTTGCCTAGATTTTCCCTTATAAATGATAAGGGAGAAAATTCTATCCCTAAACTTGTGAGCAGTGGATGAGAATCAATCTATCTGCAAACATATGAAATGTTCAATTTCAGAAATATTTATTTGAGAGAGGGAGAGCAAAATTAACTTACTTCAGTCTGAAATCATCTGCAGCCAGCCTAGCATTGTCAATCTCCAAAATGACTCTGGAATTGTCAATAGTAGCTGCAAGGATCTGGCAATTGGGAGACATAAAAAATATTTCTGTGAACAATGGTGAAAAATCATTGTACTGAGTACACAGTAATTAGTTACTGACATGTAAAGAAGGGAGAAGGAACGGATATGGGGTTTAATCAAAGTATGATTTAGGGATTCCAAAACACATTTTATTATATCACCCTTTTCCCTACTTACAGCTTATATATGGGAAAAAACAAAAGAAACTAAACATTATATATGGATCTGAGAGCTGAGTACAGAATAGATTTTGAGCTTCATCCAGAGCAAGAGAGGGTCCATCAGAATGGAATTAGATAGCTTGATTTTTCTCTCGCCTTGCTATTCATGTCTCTGTTCATACAGTTAATGGAAACAAAGTCCAATCCTTTCATTCTCTGTGCTAATATTCTCAAAGTAAAAGATGAAATAAGAATTAAAACTGATGCTGCCTTATTATCCTTGTACCCTAACTTTTTATAAGAGTGTTTTTCTTGTTTTAAATTTATTCTGTGGTACTTTTGTACAAATGTTATAAACTTATAAATTAATGACAGTGGGAAGTTAAACAGTATGTTCACAGCTAGGATAAATGGAAAACCAACTTATACTATAAAATATTCCACTTTACTTTTTCTCTGAAGTCCATGGTTTGTACTTGATCAATTTTTTAATATTTGATTTTTTTTGTTTTACATCTTCTGGATACACTTTAATATATTGTGTCACATTTTGTCACCTTTTTAAAGCTTTCAATACAATAAACAGCAATAAACAGCTTCCCTTCTTTTCTGCAGGAGCGGTTTTGTCTGCAATGCATTTGCCTTTTTTGGCAAGAAACTATGACTTTGTAATTATTACTAATTGTTTTTAAAAATTGGAATGTGCAACTCAGCAAATAATCACAAATTCTTAAAATAATCCCTTCTAAATATGAATGACATACCTTGTCTCGGAGTTCCTCAATTATCTTGTAATAAGGACTGTAGTCACGATCTGGACTAGTGGGACCTTGCTTCTGATACCAGTCTCGGATTTTGATCTCTAGATCGGTATTTGCTTGCTCCAGAGCTCGCACCTTGTCCAGATAGGAAGCCAGACGATCGTTCAGGTTCTGCATAGTTATCTTTTCGTTTCCGGATAGCAAGCCTCCATCACCACCACCGCCACCCAGGACACCACAGAAGTCAAAACCACCACCAAAGCCACCACCAGCACCTCCTCCAAAGCCGCCACCAGCACCTCCTCCAAAGCCACCACTACCATCTCCTCCATAGCCGGAATAAAAGCTACTGCCCCCACCCATGCCAGAACCATATCCAGCCCCATAGCTACTTCCCAAACCACCACCATATGCACTTCCTAACCCGGAGGAGACAAACTTGCTGGAAGAGATAGAAACACCCCTGCCACCAGATCCTCCGTGCATACTTGGGGTTCTATAGGATCCTCCCATTCGGACTGAAGAAACACGAGAGGAGCCACCACCCCCACTCCCGAAACCACCACCATAGCTAGAAGAGCCGCTCTGCATAAAGGAAGTAGCCATGGCAGCAGCACTGAAGGATCTGGAGTCAGCTACTCAGCTTGGCCTAGAGTAAGAGAGCAAGTCTCTGCGTGGCAATGATGCTCCATTTATACCAACCACAGTGGGTGTTATCTGACAAATCCATTCTCCAACCCTCCCCAAAAAGACTCTCCACCCTTAAGGGTGATGCCAAGTTATAATTTTGCTTATTAGTACAATTGGCTGTGTATTCTGAGGACCTGGACATTTTTTCTTCAGTTAAACAAAAGGTGTGATTCAGGATGAGTGTTTGTTTTCCCTGAGGCTACAGTTCTGATACTTGGATTATGCTTTACATTTTTCTACTTCAAGAAAAGAAAAACCAACCACACCCAATTTATGCATTAACTGAAAACGGTGGTAGAAAAAGTCTGACACAAAAATGAAGTTTGCTGTATATACACTTTCAGATTAATTTAAATTGTATCCTAAATTGTATCTTAAGCAGCTTATTCATTGCTGCTGCTTGTTCCTTTTTTAAAATTGTGGTTTGTTTGCATCGAGACTTTGGAATCATCTACTCTTTTATTTCTATTCTTCACTCAGAATCATCCTTCAGGGTTTAAAACCTCAATGTCTGAAACTTAAAATACATTTTCTTGCTTGTATGAGACAGTATTCCTGGTTATTAAAATAACTGGATAATTATTATGAGTTTGCAGTCCCGAAAACAACAGGAGATCAGGGATGATACGAGAGGATTGTAAAGGTAATTAAAAAGCCTCTGCAAAGAAGAGATGGCAGCACTTCCCACTAATAACTATTGGGAAGATTAAATTTACTGGATATAACATTTAATAGAAAAGTTTTAAAAAGATAGACACTAATATTTATACTTGGAAATTGAGCCAATTTCTGAAAATGAAGGTGCAATCAATATCACTTGATATGTTAAAAATCACAGCCCGAGGAGTGCCTCCAAGATCTGCTCTTAAAATATTAGTCCTGCATTAAAACAGGGGAGTGTGAACTATGTGTCTTTTTAACTCCTAACAATTCTCTAATGAAATTCAAGAACACAGATCTGATAGTGTAAATTGCAACATGAGCTGGATGCTGTTAAGAAACATCTTTTCATCCTTTGTGGACAGGATGCGATCAGACTTGTGAGATTTCTGATGCAAATTATATTTGTTCTATCCTGCTAGAGTGGTATGTGTGAGAGAGAAAGAGGATGGAAACAAAGTTTAACAAATTGTTCTTAAAACCTCTGTTCCCCCTGACCCTACAGCTCATTTGTGATGCCTGAATGGCTATTTCAAGGGAAGTGGGTTTTACCCATGAAAGCACTTGATTTTATATATATATATTTGGTCTCTAAGGTGCCACAGGACTACTCATTGTTTTTAAAGTTTCCAAGGAATCTGTTCTTTAGATGAAAGCAGTGTTTTTTTACTAGTAGATGGGGTTAGTATGCACAGTAGCAGCAGTAGTAGTAGTAGCTACAAATCAGTGTTGTAGTGTTAGAGAACTGGCAATGCTGCAGGTCAGGTCAGACTGGCACTGGAAATGGTGTATAGGAAGCCAAGTCCTGGAAAAGGAGGTTGTATTCTCTTCATAAGTACCAAATGTATATTAAAACCACAAATTTAAAGAAGATAAACACAGGTTAAATAGTTGGTGGCAATCAAAAAAGAATTCTGGGTAGTGCAACGCTACGTAGCTGAAATTAGCTATAGATAAATAAATTGGAAACAGGGTGGGAGAATGCATGGGGTTTCAAATCAGTTTCAAGGGTTTTTGTGACATTGCATAGCTGGCACTTGAATATAGCACTGGGGATACACCCCATCTTTCTCTATATTGAGGTGGCATTGGGAACAAAGTACTTGATCAGCAGCCCCTCTTAACAATCTGCGTGTAATACTGTCCTCTCACAATCTGTTTTCTCATCTTTCCTACTCTAGAGAAAAAGCCAATCTTTCCAAATTTTGATAGCGTGTTTCAAACTGAGCTTGGAATTCAGCCATGGATCAGTCTTGCCAGGGACTTGATTTAACAGATCTAAGTAGCTTGCCAAATCTATATATCACCACGTCTTTAGTATCTTGAAGAGCAAGTTTCAACAAACTCTTAACGGTAAAGAATGTTCCATAAAACCCCTGTAATGTAAGCATTCTGAAACTTACATGCTACCAGACTCCGTTTAACTCCTACTGGTCCTCTAATAAGCAAGATCAAGTTCTGTTTCACTAAAATTCTGTGTTTTGGCAGAAGCCCTTGTGGAAAATGTCATAATTTTGAAGGAATATTGGTTTTTCATCATTTTTTTGCACATACTGTTCATAACTCTCTTGAATGTTTGAGGGTGAAATATGCTGTGCTGATTTCATTTTACTCTGGGCACAGAATTGTTATTGGACAATATCTCAGGAATGCTATGTAGCAGATGCAACCATGTGTATTCCCTTTTAAATAATTCTTATTTTAGGAAACATAAAAGCAATCTGGCAGCTGGACAGCTTATCTTATTCTCTTATAATAGAACTCAGAAAAACACCATGACAGAGGGTCTGATGTTTTTATTCTTCTTTCTGGAGTATCAAGCCTGAATTCATATATCTCATGTGATCAATATCCTGCTGTTGCAGAAGGGTACAGAAGTAGTGGATCTCAGCCCTTTCCATCTTCTTATTATTGATTTTGTCTTTTTTAAAACGACAAGCCCATCTTTGTTCCAATAGTTTATAATACCTTTTTCTCTATATTGTTTGGAACATTTTCTTTCCAAAGGTGCCAAACAGCTATGAATTTTGGAGAAGTTAATTTTAGGATCAATTCAGTGTGAACCAATTGTTATTTCTCACAGACATTTTCATAATACGGTGCATTTCAGTGAGCTCTAGTGTTGTTTCTTCTTATGAAAGAAAAACAATCAAATTGTCAACGCGTGCAGACAATCTGTGTGCATCTATATAGTTCACCACACACATTTTGTTGGTTACAGTACGTAAACCTCATAATATGATTACTGGCTCTTGTTTGGATTACTACTCTAACTAGCCAATATATCATTTTACAGGTCAAATAGACCATGTGAAATTAGCTTTTGTCAAATAATTAGCTAAGATGTTGCTTTTAGGGGTATTTGCTTTAGTAAAACTTGAGCGAGCAAAGTTCATTTTTTAATTTGAATAAATATTCACTGACTTTTTTCCAATATTAACTCAGCTCTAGAAGTAGGTGTGAATCCTGATATAAACAAATTTGGGTTTTATTTTTGGAGAGAGTATTTCTGTATGTAACTTGTATTGTATGAACCATCTAAAAAAGCTTTTTCATTTCCCCAAACGCTGAATTCTCTCAGCTTCACCACCCTCCTTATGAAAAAGTTTCTTAAGTTTCTTTGAGGTCTGTGGAGCTATGCCCTTTTGGGTGTGTCTAGACTACATGGCTCCGTCGATGGAGCCATGTAAAGTAGTTTACTTGACATAGTCAATGAAGCGGGGATTTAAATAATCCCCGCTTCATTAACATAAAATGGCTGCCACGCTGTGCCGACAATCAGCTGATCCAGCACCGCTCTGCAGTCTAGACACAGCACAGTTGACAAGAGAAGCCTTTGAAACGAGGCTTACAGGAGCGGTTGACAAAGGCTTCCCTTGTTGACTGCGCCGCGTCTAGACTGCCGTGCTGTGCCGTATCAGCTGATTGTCGGCAAAGCGTGGTGGCCATTTTTATTTTAATGAAGTGGGGATTATTTAAATCCCTGCTTCTTTGTCTATGTCAAGTAAACTACTTTACATGGCTCCGTTGACTAAGCCATGTAGTCTAGACACACCCTTTGAGATTGGATTCACTGTCTTGTTCATCCAACACTTTTCTACAACTGGGTGTGAAGTGAAAATTACTCTGTTGACTCTACTGAGGGAGTTAAAGTAGAACTTCTCACCCCCAGAGATGGTAGAAGCTGTAGTGAGCTTGCCAGTTGTGGCCTTTGCACACTTCACACTAACCTTTCCCTAAGTTTTTATGCTTCCTATCTTGACCTTTCCACTCAGTTTAGTCCTTATTGAAACCCTGTAAATGAGGAAGTCCAAAAAAAAAAAAAAAGTAAGTGTCATGCCTTGGCAGAGCTTAGTTGGCAGACACCCTACAGCATGTCTGCACTCTCCAAACTCTGTTATTGTCATAGTTTTGATGGGCTGTCTAAAAAATAATACACAATAGCCTGTTAGCTTATGCAGACAAAGAGTTCCGTTCAGAAAGAGGCTTATTTGTCACCTTGACCTACCTGGCATTTGTGTGTGGTCCAACCATAACAAATTAATCACATATCATTGAAGAAGGGGAAGTGGCTATTTCTGAATATACAGAGAGAACCAGACCTCAGATATCTCAGTGATTTTATGTTCAAATCTTCCAGGGTGGTAGGAGTATGTGCCAACATTTTCAAACGTTGGCATTTAAAACTAGGCACTAAAATCTATATTTTGGTACCTAAATACAGGTGGTTTACTTTTCAGGACTGCTGAGCGCATGCAGATAGGGTTTCAATAGAATATGAGAATGTCCAGCTGCTCTAAAAATCAGGGCATCCCTTGATATGTTTAAATGTTCATTTAGGTACCTAACTTTATATACAGGCAAATATTACTTGCAAGCCATGTATGGCTCATTTAGGAGCCAAATATGACTCACAGCTTGAGCTCAGCCCCCCTCCCTCACTCCTTCCTCCTCCTGCAAGGGGGAGCCTGTGCTGGCAATCTAGCCTCATGCCCCTTGCAAGATTGGAGCCAGCACCAGCTTCCTGTGGGGAGTGGAGGAGGCTGGAGAAAGCCCCGAGGCTCGTTGTGCGATCGGGAAACAAGCTGCAGCCACAAACGACTCCATGCCCGCTCCCCTTCCCTCTCCCCTGGCTGGAGGAACAAAGCAGGGACAGACGTGCTGCCTGAAGACTTTCCTGCTGTTCCATTGGTCATAATCCAGCCAATGGAGCAGCGGGAAGACATGGCTGAGACAGGAAGCCTGAGAGCAGCATGGAGCGCAAAAACTGAGCTCTGCCCACATGGTTTCATTCTGAGTCCTTATTATCTGTGCTGGTGGCAGAGCGTTTTAAATAGAGAGCTCTCAACTCCTGAATTCAATTCCCACTTCGCTCTAACAAGGCACAAGTTTATCCAGTTTGAGGCTACATCTAATTCTGTTTGCTCAAGCTTTTGTCTCGAGTAAAATGGGATGTATTTTTATTTAGAGCTATATATAGAATCATAGAATCATAGAATATTAGGACTGGAAAGACCTCGAGAGGTCCCCTGCCCTCATGGCAGGACCAGTCTAGTACTGTCTTGACCATCCCTGACAGACCTTTATCTAACCTACTCTTAAATATCTACACAGATGGAGATTCCACAACCTCCCTGGGCAATTTATTCCAGTGTTTAACCACCCTAACAGTTAGGAACTTTTTCCTAATGTCCAACCTAAACCTCCCTTGCTGTAGTTTAAGCCCATTGCCTCTTGGCCAAGATGAACAAGTTTTCTCTCTCCTCCTTATGACACCCTTTTAGATACCTGAAAACTGCTATCACGTCCTCCCTCAATCTTCTCTTTTCTAAACTAAACAAACCCAATTCTTTCAGCCTTCCTTCATAGGTCATGTTCTCGAGACTTTTCATCATTCTTGTTGTTCTTCTCTGGACCCTCTCCAATTTCTCCATATCTTTCTTGAAATGTGGTGCCCAAAACTGGACACAATACTCCAACTGAGGCCTAACCAGCACAGAGTAGAGTGGAAGAATGACTTCTTGTGTCTTGCTTACAATACACCTGTTAATGCATCCCAGAATCATGTTTGCTTTTTTTGCAACAGCATCACACAGTTGACTCATATTTAGCTTGTGGTCCACTATAATCCCTAGATCCCTTTCTGCCATACTCCTTCCTAGACAGTCGCTTTCCATTATGTAAGGTTGAGTTAGCAGGTTTTGATTGACACTGAGCATCTGATGATAATGTTTTTAATTACAGAAATGATTGTTGTTCTTGTTATTTATCTAACATTTACATTTCAGTAAAACCCAGGGATCTTATTTAGGATAGAGGTCTCATTATAACAGGTGCTGTACGATCACATAAGTGACTGTGTCTGCCTTTTCCACATGACTGAAAACAGGATAATTGGCACTTTTAAAATAAAAAAAATAGGCAAACAGGAAACTTAGAAAAAGCATTCTTCACATTCTTTCCAAAACTGTCGGATACTTTTGCTCTGTTCTGTAAGCCAGCTGACACATATCTGAAATTAATTATGTTATCTCTGTGTATAACATTTTAAGCAGTCTGTTAAGTTTGTAAACTGCTCTGGAAACCTTGTAGATGGAAGCCGTATATAATGTACATCACTATTACTTCCTAAGCCTAGTAGATTTATATCTTTATTTTACTTCCATTGCGATGAAAAATGCAACAGCCTCTTGGAGAGGCGACATGAAGAATGCCAAATTCTTTTCACAACCAAGTGAGACTCTTTATAGAGATTTGAGGCCAGGTCTCACTCTCCAGCTGTGGGAAAACTAGTTTGCTAACATTTTGTTTGTCTAATTGTAACTGTGTGCTTTTCCTAGCTGGCCTCAATCTGCTGTGGTATGGCTGGAAACAGTTTTCAGAGAAATGTACATAAGACTGTGTTTAATTCCTAGTGAGTTACCCCCTCGTCCTTCTCTGCTAAACTCTGCTTGAACTGTGACTCAAGCCCTGGGCAAGAGAGAAGGCTACTCTCCACTGTGAGCATGTGTGCAAAAAGAGAGTGGGAAGGGTGGGTGAGGAGTAGAGCCCTGAATTACTTGCTGGCCAATATATCTGTGCAGGTGCTCAGAGCAGAACACATTTTAAAAAATGGAGAAGTAATTTATTCCTTCCCCAGAAAACGTGGAGGCAGGGGAAGAATTGTTCTACTCTGCAACACAATTTACACCCTGGCTTGTTCCTGTGGGATACAGCTACGCATTGCCCCTTACTCAGCGTAGATTGTAAGGCAATCCTCAGTGACCAAACACATGATACTTGGAGACGGGGATGTTATGTTACAAGTTAGCTATTACTCTGAATATTTTACATGTTGGGCTGTCTTTTAACACAGCCCATAGGAGGTATGGGGGTGGTGCCTGTGGATGGGGTCAGCATTCAGAGCCACCTGACCATTTCCCCTCCCTCTTCCACCCCAGGAACTGCTGCTCGACATATTGGCTGCTTTTGGGAATGGTGCAAGACCAATGCAGGGGTGAGCCTGCCTTAGCGCCACTGTGCCACCATCTGGGAGACGCCTGAGGTAAGTGGTGCCCAGCTGGAGCCCACATCCTGAACCTCTGCCCCAGACCTGAGCCCCTCTTGCACCCTGAGCCCCCTCCCACAATCTGCACTCTGAACCCGCTCCTGTACTCAGCCCCCAGTTGCACCCAGGCTCAAACCAGAGCCACTCTCATACTCCGAATCCCTTAGACCAGGGCTGGCCAACCCACAGCTCGTGAGCTGCATGCGGCCCTTCCCCCCTTCAAGTGCAGCTCGCGAAGCTTCCCCCATGGCTCACGAAGCCACCCCTACGCCCTAAAAAAGGCCCCCCACTGCCTTTTCCCTGAGTGCAGTAAAGCAAAATGGCTCCAGCAAGATGGCACTGGCCGACGGGAGACTGATGTGGCCAAAAAGCCACCCGGAGTGTTTTTAAAGGGGCAGCGTCCTTCCCCTCCACCCCCAAGAACTTTGGCTGGTGGGGAACTCTTCCTCCCCCCCCAAACAATTCTGTTGCGGCTCTTCACATTTTTTTCCGCCACCGTTTCAGCTCTCTTCATTTAATGGGTCAGCCACCCCTGTTCTACAGCACTTAGACCAAGGCCACAGCCTGCCCTCCTCTGAATCCCAACTCTCTGCCACAGTCTGCTGAAAGTGGGTGAGAGGAGGGTGAGAGGAGGGAGAGGGGATGGAGTGAATAGTTCAGGGCCTTGGAGAAGTGGTGGGGCAGAGGCAGGGCCTCAGAGAAGGAGGTGGGGTCAGGGTATTTGGGTTTTAGGTAGATCCTGGATTGCACTTAAATTCAAAAAGTGACCTTGTGTTTGAAAAGGTTGGAGGCTGCTGTCGTAAATATTCAGATACTGAAGGTTCACTGCAATTGGATATGGATTTGTCACTCCGTGGGGTATGGTTTATCTTTTAGTTTGAGGATAAATGTATTAGAATATATAGTTGCATGGAAAAAAATCTTACGCAACTTTCCGTCTTGAGGGATCTTATATGTTTCTGTTGGTTCTCACTCCATTTTGGCATGCTTTTTTCCCCCCCCCCCCCCCCCCCCC